TCATCATCATCATCATCATCATCATCATCATCATCATCATCATCATCATCATCATCATCATCATCATCATCATCATCCATATTATCATATCATCCGCATCATCATCATCATCATCATCCATCATCATCACCACCACCACCCCACCACCAACCACCACACAGCATCTATCATTCATCATCATCATCCATTCATTCATCATCATCTCATAATATCCTCCATCCTCACCTCATCCTCAATCCCATCCCTCATCCTCATCCTCATCCTCATCCTCATCCTCATCCTCATCCTCATCCTCATCATCATCATCATCATCATCATCATCATCATCACCATCACCATCACCATCATCATCACCATCACCCGTCGTAGGCCTCTGCGCGGTCATAGTCTAGTTCCTCCTGAGGCCGTCTCCGGCCCTCGTGGGCAGTCCTGGGCTATCTAGGGGGCATTCCTGGGCCGGCTCAAGGCATCAACAAAAATCATTCAAACCAAAAATCAACTATTTGTTGTTTCGTGTGCCCCTCCTAGTGGCCTTCGGCCTATCCTGCCACCGTGCATGGGTTGTGGGTCAGAGGCCTCTTTGATGCCATCTGTGGTGGCCATGCTCGGCCGGGGGGGGCATGCCCGATCCCTTCTCTTGCGCTATTGCGCTGGGGTGCGACAGGGGCCTGGCCGTGCTGGTGGGGCGTCTGGCGCGAGAGATCGGAGGAGCTCTTGTCCCAGCCGACCAAGTCCAGGACGGGTGGTATCCGGAGCGGGCGCTTCGGGGTGCGGACGGGGGGGGTCCAAGGCGATCCTCGCCGGCTTCGAGCGCGAGAGCTCTGGGGAGTCGCGGGGGTCCTGCCCCCCTCCTCCAACTCTCCCGTCGCCGTCGCCAGTTTGAGACCCGACTGCTTTGGGGGCCTCGTGCAAGTGTCCAACGTGTGGCTGGCGACCACCCAAAGGGTTAGGTCGGGCATGTCCTCCTACGGATGGATTTTAGAAGAAGATTAAACACGGTCAAGCAAGCAGTCTAACATGGTCAGGAGAGCACGAAAGATGGTCCCTGGACTATTTTTCACTATTCTTGAATATTCCTTCTGTAGAGGGACATGCCCGACTTTACCTGCGGGAATGGGCGGGGCCTCGCGCACCGCCAACGGCAAGAGGCGGACCACCACCAAAAGGAGTGCCAGGGCACATGCCCGCTCCGACTTCATGGGTGGGCTTGGGCCGCCCGAGAGGAAAGGCCCTGGCCCTGGGCGCGCGTCCAGCAGCAGGCGGGTGAGCGGAGGCGTGGCACCCGTGAGGGGGAGGAGGAGGAGGAGGAGGAGGAGGAGGAGGAGGAGGAGGAGGAGGAGG